CAGGTTTGTTTTGTCCGCTTGCTTTGTGTATTGTTCATCACCCAAGATAAAAGTGTTTGGAAGTGTGTTCCTCAGACATCACCCAACAATCTTCTCACTCAATCAAGGTTTGTCCATCTTATCTTGATTTTCTGATATCACCACTAACAAAATGAACCAAGAAAAATTGAAAATTCCAGTCTTTGCATAGCAGAATCAACCATCTAAGGTTTTTCTTGTCTGTGGACTTTTTTCGTCTTTCACAATAGTTTTTGGTCTTTTCATTAGAATTTAAGGAGGGAAGAAAAGAAAAAAAAATAAAAATGGCTATGGTAGCACAGCATCAAGGAGAGAGTAGTAGTGGGTGCAGTATAAATAAGCAAATGGATTCGGGAAAGTATGTGAGATACACGGCGGAGCAGGTGGAGGCATTGGAGAGGGTATATGCCGAGTGCCCCAAGCCGAGCTGTTTGCGCCGTCAGCAGCTGATCAGAGAGTGTCCGATTCTCTCAAACATTGAGCCCAAACAGATCAAAGTCTGGTTTCAAAACCGAAGGTTTTTTGTCCAATATCTCATCTCTTTCGCTTTTCATATATATATAATCTTGAGAAGTTTATCATTGTTTCTCTTTTCCTATGTGATTATTTTTGTAGATTCTGTCGTTCATTATAATTTTATTTGAATCTTGCATCATGTCAATCATTTATTAATTTCCTACTTTAATGTATAATGTATTTGTCTCGAGTTGCGGGTTTTCTTAAGAATCTTGGATTTGAATGACAAGAGTGACATATCGTGTGATATTCTTATTTCGTTAATGCGTTCTGATGCTTTTGATATTTAACAAATAAAAGGTGTCGGGACAAACAGCGTACAGAGTCGACTAGACTTCAGAGCGTGAACCGAAAATTGAGTGCGATGAACAAGCTCTTGATGGAAGAAAATGATCGCCTCCAAAAACAAGTGTCTCAGCTGGTATCTGAGAATGGTTACATGCGGCAACAGCTCCAAAGTGTATGCAATAATTTTCTTTATCAGTTCATTTTATTGCTTTGTGTTTATATATGAACTATCTGCTCCAGATAAAAGTTGCTTGATCTGTAAACCTCACATTAGCAAATGCCTCATGCAGATTTTGTATTTTCAAACATTCTCAGCTTCTGTTGGCATTGTGTACAAGTTTGCTTAATTCTAACTGAATATATGATTGTACAGTTAAAATACTTTGTTGATTATTGATCTCATAGTCTGTCGTCTACTGATTCTTGAATTTATGCGGTCAATTGTGAGTGTGTGGGGTGCGTTTTAGTTCTTAGCTTTGAGACTTCCATTGGTAAAGCTCAAATATACTGCGAAAAGAATATCACATTTTAGTGCACAATAGATGAATTGGTAATGTGTGTGTGTGTGTGTGTGTATAGTATATCATTTTTGCTACAAAACTTAAAGAATAGTTTTTTTCTCCAGGCAACTGTGCCAAACACTGATGCAAGTTGCGACTCAGCCGTAGCAACTCCTCAGCAGTCTCTTATAGATGCAAACAACCCTGCTGGGTGCTTATTCTGATCCTTCACTTTTTTTTCTTTCTTTTTTCTCTATCCTTGTGTATTTAAAATTGTCAGACCATTCAGTATGTGTTTTGTATGTTTTCCACAGACTCCTCTCGATTGCAGAGGAAACCTTGGCAGAGTTCCTTTCAAAGGCTACAGGAACTGCTGTTGATTGGGTGCAGATGCCCGGGATGAAGGTTCGGTTCGAGTTATAAAAGTTACTCTTCCGCTCGTTATTCGGTTTATGTTCTCTCGATCTTGATGAAATTCCATCTATATTTTAATGCATTTTTATTTATTTACTTATTTTTACTTTGTAATTTTAATATGTGTTTAGCCTGGTCCGGATTCGGTTGGGATTTTTGCGATTTCACAAAGTGGTACTGGGGCAGCGGCAGCTCGAGCTTGTGGTCTTGTTAGTTTAGAGCCTGCAAAGGTTAGCGAAGTAGTTAGTTAGTTAGTCCATTTTTTTTGTCTGACTAAAGTTGGCACTTGGCACCTTCAAATTAAATCTATCATGCCCACGAATGTTAAGAGCTCTTTGTTATTATTCTTTGCTTAATATTATGATCCTAAAGAGGTTCAAATAATTCAAACAGATTGCTGAGATTTTAAAAGACCGTCCCTCTTGGTTTCGTGAATGTCGGAGCCTTGAGATTTTCACGATGTTTTCTGCTGCAAATGGTGGAACAATCGAACTCTTGTACACTCAGGTTGATTATGGGATTTTTTTTCCCGAATTCAGTTTCTTCTGTTTAGAGAAAAATTAATTATCTCGATTTTGCTTTTTCAGATGTACTCACCGACTACACTTGCTCCCGGTCGTGATTTATGGACCTTGAGATACACAAAAACCTTGGAGACCGGTAGTCTTGTGGTATGCAATTCTATGCATACTGTTCAAAAAATTGCCTCTTTGTATTGTGGTTGTGATGTTTCTCTTAAAAGGCAAAAACTTGCATAAGCAAAACCTCTCATTATCGCCCCATTACATTTTTGGAGTGAATAAGGTAGTATGAAAGTGGATTTTTAAGGTTTTTTTGGTCATCTTCAATCACAAAAAGGTATGCGAGAGATCACTTTCTGGTAGTGGGGCCGGCCCGAATGCAGCCTCCTCGGGATCACAGTTTGCTAGAGCCGAAATGCTTCCATCTGGATATTTGATTCGACCATGCGAGGGTGGAGGATCGATTATTCACATTGTAGATCATCTTAATCTGCAGGTAATTAATTTAACTAATTAATTTGCTGTTGCTCCTTCAGAATTGAGTGATCCTCAATATTTCTTTGATAATTAATCACTAACTTTTTTTTTAACACTTTGTTGCACTACTACTCCAGGCATGGAGTGTGCCAGACGTGTTGCGTCCACTTTACGAATCGTCAAAAGTTATAGCTCAGAAGATGACAATTGCTGTGAGTGTTATAGCAATGGTTTCTTTTTATTTTTTATATAACTGTTTTTTAAATATTGTGCTATTCCATATCAATATTACACAATAACTTACTGAGATGGCTAATTAGTTAAGAGAATGTTAATTAATTACACACAGGCACTAAGATATGTTCGGCAGATAGCTCTCGAAACGAGTGGTGAAGTAGTATATGGTCCCGGCAGGCAACCGGCCGTTTTACGAGCTTTCAGTCAGAGGCTAAGCAGGTGGTTTTGCTCGTACATTTTACTTTTTTCAC